AGAACTTGTTTTCCTTTTAGTGTTATAACTGCACAGATGACCAGAGTTAAATTTAACACTCATTTGCAGTAACTATTTTTTATCCCTATCTTTGAGATAAGCCTTTTCCTTGTTCCATCTCTTTTTCTTATTTTACAACTCTTATTGTATTTTTTAAAAACTAAGTTGAATAATGATGATAAATAAATAAAATGATGCCTACATCTACATTCTACTGATTTTTTTCTAAAATCCCATAGACTATCATAAGTTCAGTATTCCTAGAAGGTCCAAGTCAAGCCTCCAGGTACCATGCTGTCTGGCTGAGGAAAGAGCACTCAGAAGCCAAAATTTAGGGCTGCCACCTCAAGTGTATTCTTCCTGAGTGTGTTGCAGAAGTGAGCCCCACTTCCACCAGTAAGAAGGAATGCAACCTTGGGTAAGATACTTCTCTATACCTTAGTTTCCTTATCTGCAAAGCAAAAACAATAGTATCTACCTTACAGGGTTGAGGCAAGAATGAACATGTAAAGCAGTGGTTCTCAACCTTGGCTGCACATTAGAATCACCTGGGAATCTTTTTAAAATCCTGATTTCTGGGCCTCATCCTCCGGAAATTCTGTTTCTTTGTTACTAATGTTGTGGACCCACCCCATAACAAAGAAACAGAATTTCCGGAGGACGAGGCCCAGAAATCAGGATTTTAAAAAGATTCCCCGGTGATTCTAATGTGCAGCAAAGGTTGAGAACCACTGATCTACATAATGGAGGCAATCATGCCATCCATGACACAGGCCACTACGAAGATCCAGGGAGATGATGTAATATAAAATTGCTGTGAACACTTGAAATCCTTGACAAATATGAAGAAATAGCTGGCTCACTTTCACTAACTTACCCATGGAAATACAGCCACGGTATAAAAAAATACAATTATGGAATAAAAGAGCAAAATATTTCAAATTAGCTTGCTTAACATATTTTAAAAATCTCTTTCACTTTTCATTTTTTTTCACATGTGAACTGAAGTTATTCTCCATGTTTGCTCCAAACACATCCTTTCTTGAGACAGTATGTGATTTCTTCTCCCTCTATTCCCACAGAATAGAAACGCTTTCTTCTCGAAAGGTGTGGGCATTCATTCCCTTTCTGGGAGGCTACCCAGCCAGGCTGGACATCTGGACACAAATCAGATGTGATCCCAAACACAGCAAGAGGCCCACATGTTCCACCTCGTTCGCTGCCAGCACCATACTCCCCTTATATTCATCTAAATTTCCTTTCCAGACCCTCACCTGCAGGCCATGAGGACTGTCTTATGGGCTCTAAACTGCTCACGGCTCACCACTATGACAACATCAGTCAAGATGTCCCGGCTCCGGAGGCGATTAAGGTTGAGAAGAACATCACTGGCATGGCGGGTGAACTGGATACAGCTATCAGCCGGCGAGGCCATTTTGTCTTCACCTGCAAAAAGGGGTCAAAATCCTATTAGTTAACCAGAACCTGTTTCTTGCTTACCAGGAGCATGAGAGCAGGTCGTTCAGCCTGCTAGCATGGAATGCAAACTGAGGCCCCTTGTGTTTGGTCTTTAAATAATTCATGGCCCATCTGTGGATATTACTGTTCACATTTGTAAAATGGGGAGAATAATTTTTATCCAACAAATTGGAATAGAAAGCCCTTTACAGAAAAGGGGAAGGGAATGAATATTGTTGAGTGTTTTTCCCACATATCAAATACTCTACCAGCATTGAGAAGCAGTGAGTGTGTGACAGGGGAGAGGACCAGGCTTTGAAGGTTAGCATACTAGCTTGACCTTTTTTGAGCTGTGTGACTTGGAGCTGGTTGCTCAATATTTCTGGGCTTTGGTTTCCCAAAATGAGAGTAGTAATACCTATGTAGTTGCAAAATTAGAGATATGTGCCTAATCTATAGCCTAGGTTCTGAAAAATTGTAGCTATTCTCATCAGTATCTCATTTCTCCTCTATTAGGCTTTAGAATTATCTCACTGTTCTGACGAGCACCTAGCACATTGCTAGTGCATAGTAGGTGGCTACATTAATTTGAACTAAAATAATTCGGGGAATGAATGATCACACAACAGTGTTAAGATAGTCTAACGCAGGGGTACAGGATGAGGGCTGGGAGTGATAGAGAAGGAATCAGCAATCCTTCACCTCATCTAATGAAAAGTGGCAAAGTTCACAGAAACATATGCATTGGCAAATTCAAAAGAAACAGTTTCCCCACAAAATCTTAAGGCATATAATTCAATTTACTTACCCAATGCCTTGATTCACAATCCAAAATTTTGCTTAAAACCTGCAGGGAAGAGAAAAAACAAACAAACAGAAATTGATTTAATGAATGTAAGATTGTCCACTATGGTCTTATTTTAGAACACACGTGTTTAGTTTTACTTTGATAGCTGCAGCCTGCCAGCTGGTGCGGTTTTACTATAAGCTAGGAAACATTTTTCCAGCTCTGCTCTTATGAAAACAACAGGCACCCGAAGCCCTGCGATAATGTTTATACCCTGAGTACTGGGGATACAGTACATACATTAATTACATATACATATACACATATGTTTCCTTTCTCAGTGGAAACAATGTTCACTACCCCAAAGCCAGTGCATTTATGGGAAAGAAAACATTTAAAGAAAGAAAAAAATCAGTATTAATAAGGATGATCATTCAGGGGCCTAAAAACTTTGGACGCTTTTCGAAACCTGCTAAAATATTATTTTTTCAAGTCTTAAAATGATTCCACAAGGCCAACAAGGTCAATATCTTTACCCTAATTTCACTGGTGACAAAACTGAGACTCGGGTTCAAGTGGCTTTCCCAGGACAAAACAGCCAGGCAGTACTTCCTGACTGTCTGAAAGTACTGAAGTACTGAATACAGAATCTGCAGAATACAACCTGCCATGGCCTAGCTATGCTTTTCTTAAGGATCTTTGCCTTCTGTTTAAAAGTTTCCTCTCCCTTCCCTCCTGGGTCTAAGACAAGATATACTACCACAATCTTGCAAGTTTGTGCTTCCCCCTGCTGGTGAAAAGATTTAATTGTCTGATTTAGCTGAGAACTGGCCAGGGAGCACTAATGAAATATATACCTTCTCCAAATTGGTTTCTTTAAAACAAAATAATTTAAAAGCACAGGTGGAAGACTCTCATTTATGACAGTATATGGGCTGCAGAGGAACAACAACAAAAAAACTATCTTATCCCTCTTCCCCACCCCCTTAAAAAAAAAGCCTAGGCCTTAGTTATTTTCCAGGTAAAGGGGCCCGAGGCCAGGGAGGTCTTGTTAGACCACATAGATGGTGAATAGCCCGGCCCTAGGTCTTCTGGCTCAAATTCCTGACCCTTTCCAAATCAGCCTACGTGCTGTAGAACATGCAAGACAGCACCCTGACGTGGGTGAATCTCATTTTTAAGTTCCTCCCCCCACACAAACACTTTGCCCCCATTCCAGGCTGCTGAGTCTTACCAAATGAGCACTAAAATGAGAGGTTTCCTTGAGTCTGTAACCAAAAACTCTGACAATTCTCTGTGGTCCCAAGTGCCAGTCACTCAATCTCATCGGCTTCAAGGTTAGGTGTGTATGTGAGTGAGTGGGGTTAGGGGGAAGAAAATGGGGGAAGGGAGAGGACAGAAAAAGACAAAAGAACCTATTTCCTCCTCTCCCCGTTCTAACTCAAAATGGGCAAAGAGAGATACACTAAATTGATCCTAACAATAGTTCAATGATTGGTCTCCTTTGAAAAAGAATGTTGAAGGCACATGTGAGGTTTATTTATAAACCCGCTCCTCTTCCCTCATGGAAGAGATCCTTAAACCCTTCTGTAATACCTAAGGCTGTCCTCCAGCCAGCTGCAACCACCAGCTCTCCTGTGGATTTCCAGTCACACACCTTTGGACCACAGGAAGCCCAGATTTGCCATTTCACCTTGACACTTGTCAATGATTCACTCCAGATTCGGATTGAAACAAACAAAACAATTCCCCTGGGTCTACTATCAGCCATGCTCCGGGCTGGGCCCTTTTCACCCTAAACCTCTGCCTGGGTTGTCCCAAAATAAATGCACACACACTGAGGTCCATGTCCTTATTGAGTCCACTCCTTCCTACATAGCTCTGTCTCAGGAGGTTCCACAATTAGTGAATATGTGGGTTAATGGTGGGTGTGGGTGATGGACTTCCCTCTAGATGCTGCAGGTGTGGAAGGACCACTAGCATTTGGTTTGTTTTTTACAGCCCACTCAGCTCCTTCCAGTCCATTATTGTATCTGATCCTCATAACAGCCCTGATTTAGTGGGGAGGACACTGAGGCTCCAGGGGGATAAGCCTTGCCCAACATCTCAAAACTAATCACCAGCAAGCCCTGGGCAAACCTGTCTGCTAGCTTCAGAAACGCACCAGACACACACAAGATTCATTCCACAAAAACACCAAGAGATCAGAGCTGTCCAGGAGAAAGTGACAACTGCAAGGGCCCAGACCTGGACTCCTCTGAATCCAGCCCACCCCGCCCCAGCCACAGTAACTACCAAGTGAGAGTTAAAAAACCACCAAATGAGAGTTAAAGATTGTCTTCTCCTCCCCCCGCCCCGACCCAGCAAACACACACACACACACACACACACACACACACACACACACACACACTCTTTCCTTTGCGCTTTAAACTTAGGCACCCTCAGGAGAAAGGCAGGTCCTTTAAAGGATTTGGAGAAGAAAAAAGAGGGTCCTCCCCCTAAAAAAAGAAAAAAAAGAAAAGAAAAGAAAAAAAGAAAGAAAGAGGAGAGAGAGAGAGAGGAGAGAGAGAGAGAGAGAGAGAGAGAGAGAGCAGAAATGACAGACCAAACAGGAGATGAGAGGAAGGCTATGTTCTGGAGACAGCGAGCCAATACAAAGACCCATCCTTTTCCTCCTCCCTACACTCGGTGGGCACTGGGCAGCCTCATTCTCTCGCTCACACACACCCAAGCCCTGCGCGCGGGAGCAAGCCCACCCCTTCTATACGGTACCTGACTGCCAGGGACTGCCCACCCGGGGGCGTTGTGCCACCACCGCTGCCCATCTGTCTCCGAGTCCCCGTGGGCTCGGCGGAGTCCCCGTGGGCTCGGCGGAGGCCCCGCGGGACTACCGTGGCAGCCCTGAATTTGGTTGTATTCAGATAAAACTTTTCGTGCACCTCGGGAACTAACATTGTGTGTGCCTCTTTCTTTTCCTGTTACGCCGTCAAGGCAGGGGGCAGTGAGGGGAATGGCTCAGCCCTCTCATTCCCGGAACGTAGTCGATCTCCGCTCAGCGGAGTTCACAGAACACTCTCTGCCTATCGCCGGCTCCAACGAGAAGTAACTTTCCAGGAAGCCGCTGGCCCCCAACGGCCGCCGGGATCGCCGCCTGCGCCGCGCGGGCTGCCGGGGATTCACCGGGAAGGGAGCGGGGTGGGGGCGCCCCGGAGGCTGGCGGGGAGTACGGACACTTTCCCCGAAATCGGTCGGCCACGCGCATCCAGGCACTCACAGCTCGAGTCCTACCCTTCCCCGCAACAGTTTTATAAACGGGGATGGTCAGGCGAGTTAGTAGCAGAGCCGGTCTAGACCTCAGGATTTCGGGTCCATTTCATGACTTCAGGTTGCCCAAGTCTGGCGTTTATTTGCCTGGGGCGTCATTTTTTTTTTCTTTTCTCTTGGCCCCGAAATCCTTTTAAAGAGGATAGTTAGGCGAGGCGTCAAGGCCTAGAGGTAGAGGGGTCAGGGTCTCTGTGCAGCGTACCCCAGCCGAGTTGGAGAAAAACTAAACCGAAAGCCCCTTCCGCCTACGTTGGCAAGTAGGGGAACACAGCTCGGCTGGGTTTCCGCCCCAAGTCTTTAGAATCAGAGCTGCCAGGCCGAATCTGGCCAGGTTTCGGTTTTTCCGAATTCTATTTCTCCGAAACCCCGTAGAAACAAGGTTAGGATCCAGGAGAGGCCCGGACGCCGACCCCGCCGCGCGCGCGCGCGCGCTTGCTCCAAGGTTGCCGCGCCTTCCCGTAGCCTTCCTTGGAATTATATTTATCTCCTATTTATCTCAGCAGCGGGCTCCAAGAGGGACTTTGGGGGGCTGGGGCTGGGGTACCGGGGATGCAAAAGACGCAGCCTTTCAAGCCACAGCTGGGTCTTAAAACTGGCGTTGGCGACACCCAGCGCCGCGCCACCCGTCAGCGACGGAGGCGGTGTTAAGGTCCGTTGTTCAAGACTGGGCCTCTGCAGCCTCATACTTTGAGGCTTTCTCATTCCTTCGCCCGGTGGAATACTGGTGGAAACGAAGGCTGAAATTTAATATGGGATGGGGTGTGAGTCCGGAAAAAGAGGTTAAAATTAAGTAAATGCACTTATTGGAAATTAGGAGTCCCGGAATCATGTTTCACCGCTACTGAACACTAGAGGGAGCCCTCCCACCAGGGCTTGATACCAACAATCCCTCGTCGCCCCGCCCCTTCTTCCTTCCCATTGACCTAGTTTCGACAGTCTCGGGAGTTGGAGAACTCGGTCCTCCACCCCACCCCCTATCCCCACCCCCCGCCCAATCCTGGCCGGCCGTTGGGTTATTGGTAATCTAATAACTCCAATAACTCGTTGAGAAATCCAAAGGAGAATGTGGAAGTGTAAAGCACTGTTTAGGGGCAGGGACGAGGAATTTTAATAAGGGTGCAGCTGAGCAGTGAAACCCGCATCGTGGTTCCTGCAGGCGGAGCGCTCCCTTTCTACGCAGCATCTCTACTAGGGAACAGCTCGGGTCCAGCCACAGTGGTCCCGCAGTAGGGGATGGGGTTAAACTGCGGAGTTGTTTCTGTTCAGTGAGGGACTCTCTTCGAGCTTTTTCGCTGGGGGACGGGAGGGTGGGGAGTCGACAGTAGATGAAAGCCAATTTGATAATGCGGTGGCCTCGGCAGTCGTTTTGGGTGACCGAGGTCCGAGGTGTTCAGGAACATTATGTCCTAACTTTCATTTCTATCACGTTTCTGACAAAAGCGCTCTTTTAAGCCTGCAAGCTTCTAGGAAATGCCATAAAACAGAGGGATGTGTTTTATCAGCAAGATCTGAAGAGGAGCTGCAGAAGGGACGCTCCCCATGCTCCCAGCTTGCGACAGCCTTCCAGAAAGGTCCGGCAGACAATGCCAGCAAACCACGTCCCCGAGCAAAGATATCTCGGCCATCCTGGTTGGACCCGCTCGGCTTCTGCAAAAAGGCCTGCGGGGGAGGGAAGCGGCATGATCTTCCCAAGCAAACAATGCCTTTAAAAATCCGATCTGGACAGAAGTCAGCCAAGGTCTTTATTCACGTTAATGAAGATGGAAGGCACTAACTGTCCTTGGAAAGCGATGAGTCAAACTTGACCGCTCTTCAAACACGTCCCCAGATTCATTTCCAACCCGAACAGAGGCGCGTTTCTCCGACGCGGCCTCCAACAACTCCCCCAGTGAGAGAGGCTAAACTCGGTTCCGGCGGACCTGGGCGGTGGAGACGACCGCGTCTCCTGAGGCTGTGCGTGCGGCCGTCGCTAGGGGCCGCCAGGACACCGACTCACGTTTGCCATCTTAAGTTTTTAACTCCCAGAAAGAAAAGTTTGCTATGAAGCGGTTGTGGAACAAATTCTATGAGGATTACACTCTGCCGGTCTATACGACCCACCCACACACAACTGATTTCTCTCCAAGCCACTTAGAAAAGTTTAGAAAGAAGAGGATAGAGAGGAATTTCAGGATCTAAATGTGAGACTCAGGTGCTGCAAGATGCATCTCCCCATGTCCAGGGACTGGGCCTTAATCACTCCCTAACACACGCCTCCCTCCCCCTCAAGGTATGAGACCCCCCCCCCACACACACACACACACACACACTCCTCAGCACAACTGTAGGCGTTTCATGTTAGTTACTGAAAATCTTAGGCCATACTTTATAAACCAATTCCTCCAAGACAGCTGGAGAATCATTTCCAACTACAGTGACCTAAGAGGTTGGAATTAAGGCTCTCTGACTGCTGTTCCTTCTCTTGCATACCTCAAAGGTGCGGAGGTAAGCTTACCTTTGACTTTCAGTCACTAACCTGGAAATTCAGAAACTTAAAATCTGGCCTGGACTAAGTCAGTGTCTCACCATTACAGGTCCCCTCATCAGGCCTGTTTCCTCAACTATAAAGAGTTGTATGTCCTAAGAGCCCCCATGGCATCCCTCCACTACCAACATCCCCCAACCCCGCTCAGTCCCAGCCCCTCACCCGGAGAGGTAACCGCGATCTGGAGGTAGTGTAATCAAAACGAGTTCTTTTATGGTTCTCTTCTTGGAGGCAGATCCCATCACTAAGCAATCTTGGATCGGGTAAGCATCCCCAGGCTTTATAATTTTCATCCATCTTACCCAAACTTTGGATGTCGGGTGACATCCTCACTGGAGGCTGTCCTCCCTGCCAGACCTAGTACCAGGTTGGGAGACTTGGAGACCAGAAGTGGCCCGGTCCACCCACCGCCCAAAGCTGGAATCTCAGCAAGACCTATCACTAGGTGGCAGACTCGGTCCATCTGAAAATCACAGGCGGCCACAACCTTCCACACCCGACTACCCCCAACCTTTCCCCGCCCCCCTTTTTGTCTGTTAGGGGGAGGGAGCTGCCATCATAGGCAAAGCTGGAAAACATTTAATTTACTAGATGTAATTCTTTTCTTCGCGATGCTCACGCCTCTCCCAACCACAACACATTATCTGGAACTGAGTCCATGGAGTAGACTGTGATTTTTTTTTCAGCCGGAAAGGCTGAATGTATTGAAAAGGGAAAGCAAGGGTGCACTTGTCTTCAAAAAGAAGAACAGAATGGCACTCCATGGCATTTAGCAGAGCTCCCTGTCAAATACTGGTCGACCAGCAAGGAAAGTCTATAATAAACCCCTGATCCCCACTAAGAAAGCGGTCCCTGGAGCTCAGCTGCAGGGTTCCACCCAGGCTTACAGCGCTCCAAAAATCCGGGAGAGTGGGAAAGAGGGGACGAATTTGGTCTTTTGCTGGGGCCACTGATCTGAGGCCAGGAGTCGAAGAGGATTGGGAGAAGCCTCTCCTGGCTTCCAGGGGGGCGAAGAGAAGCCGGCCCTCTTTGCCACAACACAGCACCCTCCCTGGGATCACTGCTGCAGCGTTCCCACTTGTTGCGCAGTGCAGGGCACCAGCATGCGCCACGCTAACTTCGACTCCAGCTGGGCTCCAAACCAAGTTACAGACCAGACAACCATCGCCCCCAGCAATCCCCTAACCTCACTCCCGAATCTCTCCCCCCTCCCCCACGCACACACCACCATCACCGCCAGCAAAACTACAGGGCTTCCAGTCATTATGGATCTTAACACTACTAATAAAGCATTCCTTCTTATCTCAATGTCAGACAGGTAACAGAATTCAGGTGCTCTGAGAAGTCAAGTCGAAAGGGAAGGGAAGGGGGGCTACCTCCTCCAGGAGAACTCCCTTGCTTAAAGCCAACTAGGCAACCTTCCTCTCTCTCTGGTTTTCTTTCTTTCTTTCTCTCTCTCTCTCTCTCTCTCTCTCTCTCTCTCTCTCTCATACTTATTGGAACTACTTTGCTGATTATACGACACCATCCTAGCTGAAAAATCAACTTTTCCTCTTCCCATTTGAGAGATCAACTGCAAAGTCCCTTTTTAAAAAGTTAATTTTATATCCGCTTGTTAAAGGCAAAAAAAATAAAAAATAAATTCCTCATAAGGTCATTTCACAATATTTTTCAAATTCTTTGACTTGTGCACACAGAGTCTCACCCACCGAGGGGTGGCGCTGTCACACCACCTCCTTTGAATCTTAAGTTTTTCATAACGAAGTGGCTTGTGAGTGTGGCTACCGGGCAGGAGAGAGAGGGAAGGAAGGATTTTGACATCGAGTCATGGCTAACATTTACTCAACCAATAACTGGAACTCTTCAGGGCTCAGGAAAGGACAGCTTAAGAGTTTAGAGTCCCACCCCTGTCCACCAAGCCCAGAAAGAATTGGAAGGTCTTTTCAAGAAAGCATGGGATAAAAACCCTTCCAAACTGAGCACAGAGGAAAGGCCAATTGGAGAATTCCCCCTTCCTCTGGCTGCCTTCTCCTTCAAGTTGCCTAGTTTTCACAAACAGCTTCTGGCCTCATTGTCACAATCAACAGACCCTTAAAATCAGCCAATGCGCTTGAGCCTGCAGTATTAGAAAGTCTTCCAAATAGTATGATATTGGAAACTTCTATTTATAAATGGGGGGAGGGGAAATATTTCTCATCTACAGGTTTCTATTTTGGCCTGAAGACTCAACAGCAGTCATTTGAGCAAGGGAATGCCCATTTCCTGGTGC